AGGTGGATATGCACAAATAGACATTTTCTGCTTTGCTGAGAACTTTTTTAAAATATCTACACACGCATGCACATATAGATAACGAGTAATTGCAATTAATTTACTTAATAATTTGACTTTTTTTAATTTTTATTTTTTAATTTAATTATTTATATTTTTAAGACAGAATTGTTTACTCAAAATTGATTCAAACATTTTTATTTTTTTATTATTATTTCCTTTTAAGTTTTGCAATTTATTTATTATTTTATAGAAAGTTGAGGACCTGTGGAAGAAGTGAATAAATCACGTTAAATATCACCTATAATGTAATTAAAAATAGAACCTTTGTGCAATTTCGTTAGAGTAAATTTAACTATTTGCGTTAATATAACTATTATCCAACTATGAATAAAGTTGGATTAATTGGTGTCCTATTAAGTGTTTGCACTTATTATTATTGTTAAGTATTTAATATCGCAGTGGCAAGTTCCTTGTTCTAAACTAAAGAAATAGTTTATAGTGGAAAACTTTTGATCCGTAACAAATGTTTTAGCTGACCATACTCTTTTGAATACCAATAAATATCCGCCAGCATCACCTATTATGTGTGCCAACATAATTTTTGGTTTTTTCAGTTAGAAATTGAATTCTGTTAAACATCAAATGTAGATTCTGACCATTTTTACAACTACCTAATTTTATTTATAATCCAATAAGCAAAATAATTATAATAAATTATAATTCACAATCCAGTAATTTGAGCAAATATAAGATATATATATATATAGATATATATATATATATATAGATATATACTAACTATCATAGTATTATATATATATATATATAAATATATATATATATTAATATTATAGAATATATTATACTATTAGAATTAATATATACAGATATTATGATATAATAATAAAAGCTCTTATATATATATATCTTTTCACCAAAAGAGGTGAAAAAAATAGAAAATGTACATCAGAATTAACCAAAGACAAAAATAAGATACTGTGCGGAACCGAAAGAAGTTAGAAACAGAAGAAGAATACATTAGAATAAACCAAAAGATATGTTAAAGGATATAAGTTTCAACAAAACCATTTATTTAAACGTAGGTTAAAATATGTGAGTATTATTTAGATTAATCAATATATTTGAAATTACAGGTTGCAGTGTTCCATTCTCTCTTTAACGACATCAATGACTTTCATAGAACTGTATTAGCTCTCTTGACATGCACCAAAGGACATGTTAAAGAATATAAAATTTAATAGTAACCTGAATTTGAGTCCAGTTTAGAATATGATAGCGTCTTTCATGACTTCTTAGAATTTTATAAAACTATTTGACTTGTGCTGACATGAACCAAATGATATTTCAAAGGATATACGTTTTGGGGGTATGGTTTTAATGTAGGGTTAAATTTAAGTACGCGTTAAAATATGATAGCGTCTTTTTTGACTTCAATGATATTTCAAAAGATATAAGGTTTAGGATAAGGTTTTAATGTGAGGTTAAATTTAAGTTCAGGTTAGAATATAATAGCGTATTTCATGATGTCAATGACTTTTATAAAAATATATGAGATATGATTACGACCCAAATTATATTTCAAAGAATATAAGGTTTAGGATAAGGTTTTAATGTGAAGTTTAATTTAAGTCCAGGTTAGAATATGATAGCAACTTTTACGACTTCAATGACTTTTATAAAACTATATGATTTGTGATGATAATAAGCTTTACCAATATCTTAACTTTTATGCGGATTCGAATATGAAAGTTTCTTCAAGGACAGCACAATATATTTTGTTTTATAGGTAGATCCCAGTATTTCATTGTGCTTTTTTAAACAATATTACTAAAGCCTTCTGTTTAATACATCATTATATTTATTAATATATAAATTAAATAAAATTTAATTTTATAATTTTATTGATTATTTAAAAGATTTGTTAATTAACTTCGCAGAATTTTTTGATTATTGTCTTGTTTTTGTGTGTGTGAAAAAGAATTTAATGGATTTTAAACCAATTCTTTCCATACTTGAATATAAATATAGATTATATTATATATAAGAGTATGTATATATGTCGTAAGCACATTGTTACGAGTTTAACGAAACAAGTTCTTAGGAAACTGGAACAGAGAAGACAATTTCATGTTTTCTTATGAAAAAATTGCATACTAAACGCTGGTGTACCGCTCAATTAAATTAAATCTGCAACAGC